TATATCCAATATCTCTTATATATTCCTTCCAATATCTCTTATATATCTCTTATATATTTAAATTCCTTCCAATATCTCTTATATATTAACTAAATTTCTTTTACATTAAATTTTTAAAAAATTGATTCATTGAGATGTGAACTTTTAGAAACTTTGTACTCATTTAAAACTAAACTTTTCGAAATTTAATTCATTCAAATTAAACGTATTTTTAATGGAAAATTATTTTATTAAAAAAAAATTTTTTTTAGGCATGCGCTGTTGAATATTTTCGACGCTTACTAATTCGTAATCATGTTCCACCGTTACATATCGCAGATTCACTTGTTAGTTTTTAATTTTATCTTCTCTTGTATTTGTCTTATTTTTATCCTTTAATACATATCGTGTATTATTTTTTTCATTACTTGGACTTAAATTAATGAATAATTTATAAGACAGAAAGAAATTGTTAAAATTATTTTTGAAATATTTTTGGTGATAATTGTCAAACATTTTTACGATTATTCTGAATAATTTGATTAAATTATCTGAGAGAAATCTATTTAGGTAAGCGGAAAAATAATTCGCTATTGATTTATTTAATCATTAATTAATTAATTCAATTCAAATCATTTTTTTTTTTTTAAGATTAAAGGTCTTATTGGATGCTTACGAGTGAATTATGCTAGTATTCAAAGAGATGCAGCTTGGGCACTTACTAATTGCGCCTGCTCACCGCATGAAATATGCTATAAAATAATTGAATATGTATGTTTACATATGTATTTAATCATCCTTTTCCCATCATCCTATGTATATTTCTTATCAGTAATCAAGCCTATCATTTTTTATCTCTTTTTTTTTTTTTAGCTAAGCTTATCATATATTATGCTCATAGCTGTTTCTAGTGATCTAAACTATTTGTAAGGGTGGCTTAGAAGCATTGGTTGAATGTGCTGCATTAACAGATGGTGAAACTCGAGATCAGGTTTTTTGGACACTTGGTAATATTGCATTGGATTGTCCAATATGTCATGAAAAGGTAGTGAAGTACTTAATTTATGAAGTTTTAAAATATTATGCAAATAAAAACAACAATAATAATTATCACAATTTTAATCCTACAAATAATTTTTATGGTATATAATTTGTCCCGCGAATTTTTAAATAGCACTTACAGTATTACACTATCGTACTGTATTATCACACTCGTTACTGTATTGTTACAGTATTGTCATACTGTATTACTCGCTACTGTATTGTTACAGTATTGTCA